TGCCAATACGATCGCAATGATGCATTTAGGTACCGAAATGGAATTGCATGAATATTCATGTGGTGGTTATGTAATACAGCGAATCGATAATAAAAAATCTGRGTCGACAAATTTACATAATCAACGTCATCGATTATTTCAACTAATCGGTGCAGCCCTACTGTATTTTACAGTTAAAATATATGTTTATCAAATAAAGTCTAATGTTACAACTAATCGAGGATCCCTTTAACTAAGATTATGGTGTCATTCGAAGCAGAATGATCCCCTCTACCAAACGCCCACATTTTCAAAATTATTATCTGTTAATTTTATGGCAATTTTTCTGAGAGTATCATTTTTTTCTGATACACCCAGTASAAAGTCATCAGACTGTTTTAATCTCAGTCCCAGTTGGAGCTAATAAAAACARGTCCTACACCACATGATGCAGAAATTGTTCAGAAATTTCCTTTGTTGTGTAAGCTGTTTGTCATCAAGATGGACATAATGTCTGTACAAATAAACTCTGAACTGGTTAGACAGGCTCTGTTCTCTGTCACAGACTTTACTGTCAAGCATCAGAACCAGTTTCTCTGTGGGAAGGACAACACTTTAATTAGAACCAACAATGATATAAAGTCTGTGTGCAAAGACTTCCAGTATAACAACTTAACCCTTTTCCCTTCATTTCCTCAGAGCGTTGCTGACAACACTGCCTATGTTGATTCTCTGTCCTTCTACCTGACTTACTCCTTCAGCGCTGGTATGTCTCKAACACTCTGCACTGAAATTTCTAATTTGATCATTTTGAAGCACAGTTTCCGTGTTTGTTTGGAGCAGTTCYATTCATTTTAGACATAACCTGTTGGGTTTCTTAGAAGCATGTGATGCCAGTAACAACCAAACCTCCTGCAGTGTTATGCAGTCCATCAAGTTTTGTTTYAACCACCTTCGTTCATAAGAACTATTTTAACCTTTTAAACATGAGTGATGTTTTTTTTTTTTGTTGCAGGTAAAAATGGAAGTCCTTACATTGCCAGCAACAAGTCTCTGCATCTGTTCCCTGCAAAGATCGGACACTCCTACTCCTGRAGCAATGAGTCCATCTTTATGGGCAGCGGCCTCTACCTGGATGTCAGTAAAGACCAGATGCAAGGCTTCGACATCACTAAAAATAATTTTGGCTCTGGTAAGTGTTCCTCAAATTAAAAATTACTCACGAGTTTCTTGTGAAAACAAAAAGCCACGACAAAAACATACATGCAAGTACACAAATAATACAACCAAGATGATGATGATGAGGTGATGTCGCAGGAACCTTTGAGTTGTCTGAAATTTTCAGGTCTTTTGAAATTAACCTTTTTTGTTTTTATATAACGTAATTGTAATTACACACATTATAAATCAAAACTTAAGCATTTTGTTGTCTTTCACCCCGTGTGTCTCTTACCTATATATTTTTCTCTTAAATCCCCCTAGAATGGGGGCTAAAAATATATAAAAAACAAACTTTCATGGATTTTAGCTACATTTTAGCTTAAAAAACAGAAGTAAAGYTTCTTTCTAACTTGTTAAAAATGAAACTCCTCATGACCATCAGAGTCTTCCACTTCCTTTGAATGAGCTCAGAAAATTGTTTTTTGTTTGAGGCTTACTTTTCAGAATGTTTCTGTCTTCCTCTAATGGCAGTCAGGGAGTGACAGACAAGTGTGTGGTTATCATAAGGACCATAAMGAGCCTCTTAAGGCAGCTTTAATATTTCTTTTGGCCTGTTCTTTTCACACTTCTTGTACAGTTTATAAGTCAGAAAGTTTTTTATTTTGTCATCCGAAATTATGACAAAAGGAAGGGAAGAAAAACAAAAACAAAATAAATTTGGGAGAAACGTTCTGTAAAAACACTGGACGACGTTCCTGTAGTTTGCAGAAGATGCCTAAACTGAGTTACTAAAAGGAGCGAGACACCAGCTAAAAGTTTAAGTTTATGGATATAAAGTATTACTAGTTGAAGGTCTAAAGTAGCCAAACACTAGATAAAAGTTAAAACTATTAAAAGAATATCTAAAAGTAACAACAGTATAATTCACAGTAGCAGCTAAAATATCAAGAGCCTTACTAAAAACTAAAATTAGCAAAAGGCGAATTACTTTAGTACATCTTAAAAGGGTAGCTGATAGTTGAAAATAGGCTATAGTTATGAAGGCCAAATGTTTAATAATGGTTGTTAGAAGATGAAAGTAACAAAAGGCTAGCTAAAAATGAATTAGCAAACTTTAAATATTTTAAAATATGTCATCAGACATCAGCCTGASAAAAGATAGAAAAGTTATGTGTAATTTCTGATGGTATTAAAGAATAAAATTAAGAAAATGAAAAATAATAATAAAAATTTATCTTCATATATACTGTATACAAACAGAACTGATAAAGTACTTCCAGTGACTATATTTACTGTTTACCATATATTCACTTGACCTCCAAGTGTCTCAGAAGACAGAAAACAGCATTAGATTGTTTAATTTTGCTGTTTATCATCCTCTCTCTCTCTGTCTCTCTGTCTCTCTGTCTCTCTCTCTCTCTCTCTCTCTCTCTCTCTCTCTGTCTGTCTCTCTCTCTCTCTGTCTCTCTCTCTCTC